AAAAAACCGAGGATACGGTCTTGGAAAATCAGCCAGAGGTTATCCTTGATGAATGGTATTGATGCAGTCAGCCATGCTGCCATGGCCAAATCTCGATACCACGCAAGGTCTGAGAACGGGAAATCTCAGGACTCGGCCATCTCAATCCACCCGTTTTCAGGCCCACGCACAAGTTACTCTCCGAGCAAGCAGCTACACCGGTGCACATCACCTCAATCCACCGAACACACTCTCATTTCTTCAAATCGAGATTCCTCCAGCAGCTCGAAGACTACATCATCATCATCAAGGTCACTCCACGACCTTGACCCTAATCTATCTCGCTCAAGTATGAGCATGGATCGGGCCTCTTCAGCTGGCGTCCCACTCTTCACACGCACCAGCTTTTCCCGTGAGGATAGAGAGGAGGAGAGGCCGGCTTCAAGACTTCGGCGGCTCGATGACGAAGAACTGGCCGCGATCCCGGAAGCGCCTGACTTGGAATCCGCCGAGCCTTATGGCTTTAGAATGACCCGCTCTCCCACAAGCATGGACGGTGGTAACCGACGGCGTCTCAAGCCCCTCATCCTGAGAAGTACTACCTCCAACACCAGCAGCTCTAGAACCCGAACCTCTCTACTAGATCCCCCAGGAAGAAATTCACAATCTTCAGGATCTTTCAGTCCACCTCAGCCTACCTATGAGGCACTCATTGCTGACTGCACATGGCGATCCTTGGGGATCTAGTCAGAAAAGTGTAAGGCAACATTGTCGTCAGATCTTCTTGATGAATTGAATAATTGATTCTCTCTCTCTCTCTGTCTCATATTCCATAGAGCGATGATGTCACCTTGAAGGATTCAGACGTCCTAACAGACAAGCAGACTGTCACGGAGCCCCAAGGCCTGTCTCTTCCACGGCGGATAGAGATTCAGAGTGCATCTACTGATGTGGATTTGAATGATCATAAACAATCCACCAACGCGTCTCAGAAAAGGGTCGAGCTCATGACTCCAATTTCCAGAGAAGCTGGTGACCCAGCGGCGAGTCCAGAAATCAAACTATTGAACCAGGTTGAGATGGGCAGTAAACTCAGCCTGATGGTCCAGAAACAACCATCTTCCAACACGATGAACAAAGAATCTATGGTAACACTGAATATCGAAGACAGTGCATCAATCCCATCCGAACTCCACAAGAGTCTGCCTGATGCAGAGGTTGCAGATGAGACATTTGCCCCGAGAAATTCTTTGAAGAGTCTCAACCCCATCAACACCCAAATGCTCACGTCTGGTCGGAGACGGGTGACTTCACACCATTCCGTCCAGACAGGCACATGTGAAGACATTACCCTCGTCAACTCGCCAGCGAAGCTCGACAGTTCGCCGACGTTCAGGAGCGACCATCCGATCAGCTACCGCAAGCGTGTATCTCGAACCTATGCATGCCGAAGCCCTCTCCACGAAGC